TTGAATGTGGTGTGTAAATGGGTGGGACAGATTGTAATTGTGTGTCTGTTTGTTTTCGTGTATGTATGGATGCGTACATGAGGGCATGCTCGATCGATGCTGGGTCTTGTTGGTGGGCCAGTGAATGGTTTGAGGTGAATGCCATGTATTTGTTGTGATGTCCCGAGTGGGAAGTACATTTATGTGATGTTCTTAAGTGCCTGCCTGTGATTCATAATGTGACCATAATGGGGATGGCTGGTATGGGGAGGGGAAGGATTTGGGTAAGATAGAGCAGTGAAAAAACAAGTTAAGTGTAGATTGGAAGAGGGATAAGAAAGGTTAAGTGGCCTGACCACTTTGAGTTTTATTGAAGTGGTGTTCGTCAGAATAACTAGTGGTATCGGTTCCATTGTATGTCATTTGATGTATGTGCTTGTATTTGTGTTTATTTTTTACCGGGAGGTGTGTTTAAGGTGTATGCTTGTATGCATGTATGATGTTTACATTGGATGTTTGTTATGAGGAACAGACCTGTGGTGTGTACTCGTACTTACGGGGATCGAGTCCCAGATCTGTGTCCTCTTACTATTATTGGACCGGTTTCACTAGCCTCAGGCTCTGCCGTACTTAGCACTCTCTTGCTGAAGAATTACTTCCTAATCTCATTTGCGTCTTCAAATTCGAGTTGTTTTCCCTTGCCTTCGATCCCCTCCTCTCAAAGTCTCCATGGCTGCCCTATCAAGCTCTACGAGTACCTTGCACGTAATTATCATGTCCCCTCTGGTCTGTATTTTTTTGGTTGACAAGAAATGGGCTGCAGGCAGGTGTTTTATAGTCTATGATAGTCTGACGTATAATGTATATGTTGTTTTGAAGGGTTCTCTAAGGTTCCAAAAATCCTCTTCCAAATTTCCTTGGTGTGTATGTTCTGATGATGATGATATGTTGATATGCGCGTCTGGTGGATATGCTTAATACAATAAAGGTTTCTCCTCCTTGTTTGAGTTTGAAACCTCTCACTCCCGTGCTTAACTCGTCAGTGTCTTCTCGTCTCATTCCTTTTTAGCTCTGAAACTAGTCTGTGTGTGTGCGTGCTCACCTAATTGTGGTTGCAGGGGTCGATTCATAGCTCCTGTCTGTGTGTGTGTGTGTGTGTGTGTGTGTGTGTAGGAAGTGTGTGTATGTAGGAAGTGTGTGTGTGTGTTTGTGTAGGAAGTGTAAGTATGTGTGTTGGAAGTTTAAGGGTGTGTGTAGGAAGTGGGTGTGTGAGAGACGCTAGGGGCAGGGGACCACCCAACCGAACACGCAGGCAAGACCGCCATTTCCCTGGGGTAATTTGCATATTTCCCCTTCTGTGGAAAAGAGGAAAGAGAAGAGGGAGTGGAAAAAAAAAGAAAGGGAGTGTCGGTCAGGAGACATCGTGGGTGGCCCCAACTACTGTGATTCAAGACTCACTTGGGTAGTGACTCAACATCCCCCCCCCGGCAAACACACACACACACACTACAAACAACAGGTCAAGTGTCTATCGACAAGTGCCTTTGACAACCGGGAACTAACACCACATCGCTTCTGTAGTTACGAAAAAAGTAATTATACACACACACACACTCAAGAATTACTGTAGCTATTACTAGAGTAAAACGTATTGTAAATAAGTCACATTATTTGGCTTTATTGGGTCATCCTAGGTTAAATCTACATGATGTAATACATATATGAGTGTGAATATCATCCGGGTGTCGTCATGGCCGTTGCATATTTCAACGTTTTAGATGGGTTGGAGACGTTTTCCTACACTTGAAATTATTTATCCACATTATGTAAATAACAAAATTGATGTTATGTTGAGGAGAAAAACCTGTGATGCTGTTATAATTATTAATCATACTTGCTGTCTAAACTGCATTTCAAGTATGTTATGCAGTGATTGCCTAAATGAAAACTTACATAGCATCTCCCCCTTCTTCCTGCTGGGATTGTAGTTGCTCCCGTCTGTGATGATGACAGTAACAGCGACCACTCTCAGTTGCCACTTTTCATGACGATTCGCGTTAGTGAGATCTGTTACGTTCAATGTTTTATTATTTAAAACATAGGTGCTTTATTTAGCATTTGTTTTATTTCACATTTAATACACACTGCATTATATGGTATTTTGTATAATAACTGAGGTGATGCTGCTGTGGTAACGTTAAGATTATGAGTGAGTCATACGTAAACAATGTGTAGCTGCATCCATTTGGTGGAGCACCAGTGTTGGGAGATGTTGCTGGATCACCCCAGGCTCCACAGAGTAAATTCTGGCGAGGATAGTGTTGCTGGATCACTCCATGCTCCATAGAGCCCACTCTGTGGAGGATTAGGGCATAGATGGATCACTCCAGGCTCTGCAGAGCTCTGAGAAGGATGGGGATGTTGTGTGGGATCCATTGCTTGAATGTAGGTGTGTTTTACGAATTTAGTAGCATCCATAACTTAAACACGTAAGTGCTCTGGGCGATCGTCTGCCAACCCCTGGTTCGATCATCGGTCAAGAGAGACGAATTGATAAGTCTCCTTCTATCATTGTTTTACTAGTAGTAGTTATATATCTAGAAATCACTGTCTGCTCTGGGTCGCATTCTAGAGAAGAAAAAACACTGCTTGTCTTTCTTTGATTACTAACTTTCCCTGTGTGCCCTCGAGATTGATTTCTACTGTAACTTCAATCTAGGCTTTAAATATTAAGACACTACAAGGACCCCAAAGGAAATTTGTCACAGACTTTGTTTGGTTATCCTAGGTAATTACACTTATTTTAAACTTTGTATGATAGTTGTACTTGGATTTGGCGAGTCCAGTACCACTTTACTCCACTTACAGGTGTGTGAGTTACTCCTCATCCTGGGTCATTTTCTTTTGCAGAAAGTAACAAGAAAATGAGAATTCATCAGGCCAGACAAAAATAAAACACCTGAATGGTTGGTTTGTTCTACACTGTATTATGGCCTTTAGGGTATCAGGTTGTAGAGCTGTTTTTTCTTCTTACCTCGTACCCCCAAGGAAGGTTCCTTGATGCTGGTGAGGGGCTCTTGATCTAGGGAATTAGATCTGTGCTCCAGTTCCCTGAATTAAACCTGAATACCTTCCACATCCCCTCACAGGCGCTGTATAATCCCACGGGTTTAGCGCTTCCCCCTTGATTATAATAATAATAATTTCTTTACCTCGTAAACTCCATGTTTGAGTGAGAAGGGATCTACTTTTGTCAAAATTCTCCTCCCTACCTCTGAATACAGTATCATCAATGTCAATGTTTTCGCCGGATGGGAAACATAAATGTTAATACAGGTTGTAGCGTTGCTAAATCTTTGAACGATCTGTTTACCTTCCCTTCTCGCTGATGGACCCACCTTTCATCCGGACTCTCTCATTGACTTTTTGACAACTGACTTCACAAATTCTGATACCTTCAGCCCTTTCTACTTCAATCTCTTGCTACCCTCTACCCCCGTACTATCCCCTGCCCCGCTGTTTTCTGTAACCTACTGATCATCCCTCCTCCTTTCTGCCATCCAATACCCTCGCTTCCTTCCCTACCCTGCAGCGCTGTATAGCCCTTGTGGCTTAGCGCTTCTTTTTGATTATAAGAATAATAATAATAATTTGAACGATCTGTTGAAGTCTGGAATAGCATTCCGTAAGCGATCAAGATAGCAAACACTGATGAATATCAATAGTGATGCCAGTAGAAATAAATCACTGTGTTTGACTTTTTTGAGGTTATCCTAGGTAATTTATACTAAGTATGGTAACTGTACTTATGTGTACCTGTGCCTGAATAAACTTATTTGCCTGCGCATCAGAGATGATTTTTATACAGGCGACAGTGGAAGTCGCTAAGTTTTAAGAGGTAATGTTAGTGTTCAATCTCTCAGCCTCGATGTTATACCCATCATCTACACTTGTCTCCCAAATCTTTGTAATCCGTATCATCAAGTGGTCCTCCAGCAACTTACTAAAATTGCTCTGCGATCGATTGGTAGATCGCTTTGAGTTCTCTAAGTTGATTGAAATGGTTTCAGTCAGATAACATAATATTTCCATTTCTGATACCTGAAAGGTGTCAGACACTTGCTTATGGTATAGAATGCATACAGAGACGTATCTCTATGTATACACCGAGAGTTTATGTTAATTTAAGTTTTGATTATTAAAGAATACCTGAATGCTAATGTATAGCTTACATGAAGTCTTCATAACCCAGTCCTGTTTCCTGGCAAACCTTCGTAACCCACATGAAGACGATAAGCTTTAAACCCAGAGGAGACTATTCGGATAATTATTAATCCAGAGGGTTAGTAACCCAGTATAACCAATGAAAACCAGTCAGTGAGGTTTATTCCATTTGGGTATTCACCAGGATGCAACCCACAACAATCGGCTAATACTCAGGTACCTACTTAATGCTGAATGAACCAGGAAGATAGGTGTAAAGACGCATTTACAACTTATCCACCGGCCACAAGCTCGAACCGGAGTCCTTTGGTTGTGAGCCGAATACATGTCATTGAGCCACAAACCATCCTACTGAGCCATGAGCCACTTGAAGGAACGACAAAGGTACAAAGGAAGGCTTTAATTGTGACGTTTCTCTCTGTGTAAGTTTAATTCTTGACCTGTTAAAGTTCCATATACCTGGAGAGAGTTTCGGAGGTCAACGCCCCCGCGGCCCGGTCTGTGACAAATGTCTACAAACGTTGCCACAACGAGAAGCTGGTTCTGCACCTGTTCATTTTCCTCATGACTGTGGTCAGTAAGTTGCTACACCCACGTCATGTGATGCCTCGTTCACAACCACTGGCGAGGATCATTAAGGCTGCTCGTAACCTTTTCACCACCAGACAAGAATACTGTAATTCCAAAAATAGGGTTTCAAGTAAACTCTCAACATATGTACACTGAGAGAATTACACTACTCGGTGTATATGTACTCTGATGTACAGGAGCGCTAGCTATCCACCTCCATATAATTGTAACACATCTTTAGTAAGTGTTCTCAGTGTGTGTAACCATTCATCTAGAGCCCAGCAACAGAAGAAAGTTCCAGTGCAAAAAAATAAGTTTTGTTTACAAAGTGATAATTAGAAAAAATCAAACAAGTAATAACTGATTTTGGGTAATTAACTTTATTGTGTTTTGAGTACAAGCTAACTCCTAATTTCTTTTTTCCCAGGCTCCAGCGCCCCTTCCGTGTAGCGCTGAACTACCTTCTGTTATTATGTTAAGAATTGGTTCTAGTTACAAGAATTATTATTATTATTATAATCAGTTTGAGTGCCAAACCCGAAAGGGTCATACAGCGATGCGCATTTACAAGAGATGGGTACTTACATTAATTACAAATATTTTAACTAACATGAAACTTACCGCATCTGAGACGTAATTACAAACATAAACTAATATTTACGTGATTAATATTAATATTGATTTTAAGGTTAATATTAATATTGATTATATAGGTAGCTGTTTCGAATTAACCTTGTGTGTACTTTCTTCCCTTCAATGATTGTGGGGGAAGGGGAAGGGAGCCGTGATGCTAGTGAAGGGCTCTTGATCCATGGAATTAGCGCTAACACACGCTTCTTCAGAACTGACATGATTAGCTCCCATTTTCCAGGAGCTGTATGTCCTCTATGTGTTAATAATAATAATATTAATATTAATGGGTATTTTCGATGGTCATGTTTGAGCAGTTTGGGAGTACATTATCAGGTGTTCACCACAGTGAGGAGATAACCTCTACTCCAGCTCGGACTCTGAAGGAAACGTTTTGCCACGAGTAGCTTCAACAGTCCTAATTAGAACTGAAGAAGCCACTTTTCTTGTAATAACTGCCATAGTTTGTGGTTGTCCCCATACCATTTACAACTCATGAAAGTATGCCACCATTAATAACCGTATCAGTGATAGGATAACCTCGCTGTGTTAAGTCTCCGTGATAGTAATGCTGATCTGGGAGAAGACGAGGTTGGTGAGGTTGATCTCGTCGGAGAGGGAGAGAGGAGGCACCCTCTCAACCAGGGTCATCTTCGTGGTCATGTTCCTGAAGGGATGACTTGTTGCATACGCCACGTCCTCCTTCGTCACCTTGTACACGTCAGCCGGGTCCCTCGTTAAGCTGCGCATGTTATGGAAATGGAATGAATGAATGAACGTACATAACGTAAACAACATAAGGCTATGTGGACAAAGACACAAGTATGTTGAACGTGTCGGTAAAATAAACAGAACATGTGAAAAAAACATAAGTATAAAGAACATGTGGATTAGGACACAAGTATAAAGAACATGTGGATTAGGACACAAGTACAAAGAACATGTGGGTTAGGACACAAGTATAAAGAACATGTAGACAAAAACTCAAGTATACAGAACACTAGTGACGAATATGTCCTCCCATCTCCATACTATTCTTAGTTCAAGTGAAATGAGGTAACTCAATTTTGGGTAGGAAGCAACTTCACCATGAAGCGCCCACTCACCAGAAGGGGGAGAAGGGGCAGATAACGATGTAGACCTGGTTGCCGTAGAAGGAGCCGGTGTACATCATCTGAAGGTGATCGTGTTGGTTACGGTCGTTGAAGCCCAGACACTGCAAGACATGCAACACGTCATCATACATGGGATCGCATGGTGCTAGTGCTCGTTGCTGCGTAGCATACAAGTGCAACATGAGAGGAGCTTGTTTGAGTAGGGTTATGTAGTGTCTCTTGCCTTTTTTTTTTTTTTTAGCTATGAGTAGGGATGTAGAGGCTTCAAGCAGTCTATGTTTCGTGTAGCACTTTCATGGTGATGAAGTTCATCTTCCACAGGCGTATGTGAGGTAATGTCACGAAGTCTTGTTAATAGGAAGAGGATGGTGAGAAGTTCAGCGAAGCGAAGGGAAGATAAATATTTAAGTGGAGAAGTGGGAGGAGACATTGGGGAAGTGTAGTAAGAGGAGATGCTGGTGAAGTTAAATTTTTTTAATTAGATACATTAGTAGTGTGCTGTTACCCCATTATAAATGCTAGTTACACAATAGGAACAAAAGCTAATTAGGTTTCAAAGTCATATTACATCACGCAATATGGGTCTCTTACAAGGTGTTGAAATCAGCCTGAACTGGGAAACCTTCGGTAGGGAAATGAAGTTATGGTCAAGTATTCAAGTGAGGGTTCCTTCAGAGCTTTCCTTCCAGCATTGCTGGAATTACTATCACTTGGACATTGCCATGTCTCAGTATGGCCTATCCCATACACAGGAGGAATTTGATTTTTATGAAAATATCTTTCCTCATCCCAGAGTGTGGGCAAGTTGAGGAGTGAAGAGAATCATTGAGGAAGTGGAGTGGAGAGACGTTGGTGGATTGTGTGGAAACTGGTGGAGTGGAGAGACGTTGATGGAGTGTGGGGAGACTGGTGGAGCACGTGGAGACGTTGGAGTGTAAGACTGGCACTGGCACTCACCCGGGCGGCGACGTAGTAGGACCAGATGGTTTTATTGGACATTTCCTCTCTGTGAACGTAGACCACATAGCTCTGATTCACCTGTAGCACAGTGAAACAACACTCAGTGGTAGCTCAGCATATCTGGCTCTTATGCATGACATATGTATGATGAGAGGTATTGAGACACCTTGTGTGTGTATATACAACACCTGAGACTGACCTGATGTGTGTGGGTATGGACAACAGGTATCGCTCACCTGGTGGCGGGGTATAAGTAACTTCTTACAGGGATGCTCGGTGAAGCGCACTACTTGTGCCCTCCGGAGGTTGTTGACGTGGAACAAGATGTAATTACGGAATTTTGCACTGTGAAAAGTAACACAGAATACACCTATATTCGATGATTATTTTAATATACTTTGCCACTTCAGATAAATTTTAATATTTTGTTGTAGAACATACGAACACAAAATATGAAAAAAACTCAAGTTTCTCCTAACACCCATCCATTCCATTCATGTATTTGTCTAATGTATTTTTAAAGCAGCCCAGCATATGTAGGATGGTAGACATTGTCGACATGTGTGGTAGGACACTTGGCGCATAGTGAACCTTTATTATAAATGACATTTGCTCTGGGTAGAACTCTATCATGTCATGATAATAGTTGTAATACAGTGAGCTGGTCAGTGGAAGCTTTTCTAGAATAATGCTAATTGGTATATTTTTACGTGAATAAATTTAGAAAATGAGATTATTTCAAGTATGTCCGATGCGACAAGAAGTATCAGAAACTGCGAATGGCAATATTTGCATTCGCTGATTGTAGTTTTTGCAAAATTAAGTTAATTCAATTAAAACTAGCTAATCTTATAAAGTATATCATATTACGATCTTTTGATGTCTGTTGAAGTGTTTATGTTCTTACTTGTGGACGCCTAAAGTGAAGTTCATGAGAGTTTCAATTACCCATGGATGTCTAAAGTGACGTCGGTGAGTGTTTTACTTACCCTTGGACGTCTAATGTAACATTGGGGAGAGTATTAAGTGGACGCTGGTTGTAGTACTGCTGCTGTTCTATGCCAGTGACATGAACACCGCCGCCACCACGGTGCTTGGTGCGAGGGATCTCCGGCACCAGGATGTCTCTCTCACCCATCACTGCCTGTCGCACCCACATGTCCCAGTCCGCACCCTGTGACACATGATGGCTGAGATGGAGGAACTCTTATTTCTGCATCTTATATTATATTATATATAATATTATATATATATATATATTATATAGTTTTATATATATATATATATATATATATATATATATATAGTACATTTAGAAGAAAATTATAGCTGAGATGTTATATTTACTGCGCATGATTATTTATGACTTTGATATATACTGTTAAAATATATTTTCAATATATTGCACCTGAAACATGCATTTCAATATGCCATCATGTGAGGTCACGATGACTGGAAGGTTATATTTAGGCATATTTGAATGTGTTTCTGAGATCTATTGTTAATATAATATATATATATATATATTATATATAAAATTTATATATATTATATAAGTGTATAATATATAATATATATATAAGTGTATATATATTATATATATATATAAGTGTATATAATTATATATATAATATATATTATATATCTATAAATATTATATTTTTTTAATTTTAATATGTAATATTATTTTTTTAAATAATATATTAAAATATATTATTTAATATATATAAAAATATAAAATAATAATTATTTCTTTTCGCGGATTAGTAGTGAATTTAATTTTTAATATAATTTTTTTAAATTTTAAAAATCTTAAAATATTTTCAATATTCCCTTAAAACTTGTTTTTAAGGGCTATTGAGGAGGGGAAAAGTGGAATTTAATGGTTATTTTAGTTGAATTCAAATTCATTAAATTCTTTTTATTCTCTTAAATTACATGGAGTTTAAAAAATTTTTGGTGGTTTTTTTTAATGTGAAATTTGTTACTAAATGAACCCCGCCCCCACCAGGTGGCTTTCGGGGCATATTATTTTTCAATTTTTTTACAATTATGGTTTTGGGAAAGGGCCCAAGTCATACAGTTGTGAGTTTGGAAGTAAATCTTTTTTTTCCCCAAGTTAATATTATTTTTATATAAATAATTATTTTTAAATAGATTAATATTTGTTTTTATGGTAAAATGGGGGAATTTAAATTTGCCCAAGGGGGTTTATTTACTGGTTTATTTGAGGGGTGTATCGAAAATTTTTCAATTATTTGCACATGAAACATGCATTTCAATATGGCATCAGTGAGGTCACTTGGAACAGTGGCAAGTATATGGTGTAGTGTAGTTGAATGGTTCAGAGAACCGACAAGTTGTTAAATTAGACACATGTGCAACACTTGGGTATCTTTAATGAGGAAACGTTTCGCCACAGTGGCTTCATCAGTCCATACAAAGGAGAATGGTGAAGAACAGGAGGAGTTTGAGGTAATCAGTCCCTCAGCCTTGAGTCGATGTGGTCAGTCCATCATCTTGAAAAGAATACAGCATATCTACGGAGAAGTAGCTTATGAAGTAGCTGATAAAGCCACTGTGTGGCGAAACGTTTCCTCATTAAAGATACCCAAGTGTTTCACATGTGTTCTAATTTATCATATGGTGTAGTGAAAATGACGTGGTTATCACTAAAAGTTGAAGCCGGAAAGATGACGAAGAGTTGGCCCTGTTCAGCCCTGAATGTGATAACACGTCATTCCATGCTAAAGAGTTTAGGTATTATTGTACATAAGGCTTTACTTAATTTAAATCCTTGAATCTTCAAGGTGGCTTTTAAGTAGGTTTCATTGTAAAAGCATGCATAGTAGTAACAAGTCACCACTGTAGCGAAAACCACTATTGAAACTCATCTAAAGTGGCAAGACCACTTAACCTTTCTGACTTCATTCTCTTTATGTCTAACCACAACATTTTTCGCTCCTCTATCCTATCCCAGTCCTTCCCATTCTAGCCATCTCTTCTGTAGTAATAATGTTGGTAGAATTACCAACAATATGTTATGTAAAAGGACATATGTGCAGCTAATGAGACATTTTATAGCCTAACAACAACTATAAAGTAATCTTAGTATCAGAGAATGTTATCCCATATAAAGCAACAAATGAGAATCATTATGCACAATTTTTTTTTTCAAGAGGAAGCAAAAGCTGATAGAGAAAACATAAAATTAAACGCTTCCCTGAGTGTTCAAAGCCTTGATGACCAACTCGTTCCTTAATAAATCTTACTGCATTCAAAGGAGCCCACTTGCTGACTGTCTCTTGAGCCACTGCTCTCCTGATCATCCACCCATAGCAGGGGAATCCGTGGACCCTGTAGAGACGCGAGGGGTTGAGGGCGGTGTGGTAGAAGGCGTTGTAGTTATATGCGTTGACACAAAATAGCTTTGGGTCTGAAGTGAGTAGGGGCGCTGTTTGGTGGAAGTACCTGCAGAGACAACTGTTGTTTTTATATACCGAAGAGGTAACATAGCTCGGAAAAACTCGGTATTATCAGTGTTAAGAATTTAGGACTTGTTTCTCGAGAAAAAAAAAAAACGTAAGAGGGGCTTTTAGTCTATTCACATTTAGTCCACAATTTTGACAGAATTTAGATACCGTTTCGGTCCGTTCTTGATCGAAACGGCATCTAAACTAGAAGACAGGTCATGTGAAAAAGTCAGAGGGAAATTGGAAGACTCTTCAGGGGAAGAGAAAGCCACGGTCAAGTCACGTGTAACGTTTGGCAGTGTACAGGGAAATGCAAGCATCAACAGAAACAAAACGAATTCGATTTATGTTAGGAATGTTGTGGCAGTATAAAATTCCTCTTGCTGCATTCATGCAAGAGCTTTATTATTTGCAATATCTGTCTTTTTTCAGTGTGAGAAAACCCTTCCTCTCTCCCTCTTCCCCTTCCTCCCTCCCTACCTCCTCTCTCTCTCTCTCTCTCTCGGTGTTAGAGCATCTATTCTGCCTTTTTTCATGATAGCAATCTTTCATCTTTTGTTTATTCTTGAGACTAACTCATCTATAATGATGATAATATTTTGATAGGTGGTAGTGAAAGTTGTAGTCTTGAGTGTAAAAACTAGAACATTCTTACGGGATGAAATCTGGTGCGAGATCGAGGTCGTCCTCCAGAATGATAGCCTTGTCAGCGCCTGGGTAGAGTTGAAATACTTTCGTCAGTATAAACTTACATGAAAGCTGATGCGATTTGTCGAACCTGTGGAAGAATGAAGAAAATAAGTATAAGCACATTCGATGATGCGACATATGTAAAAATGCATCGTAAAGCTTGTGATGTTACTGACTTACCCTTCGGTGCAGGGTCATTGTGCTCGATTAACGGCACCTGGAGGAGGGCTGCCAGGGCTTGAGCCTCGGGGTTGTAACCATCAACAAAGATGGTGATGGGCGTGTTGGTACCGCCGGGGCTGGCCCACACCTGCCCCACCTGACGCAGGACGTGGGGCAGCCGGCGTGTTGTTACTATAGCAACAGGAATCACTTCCTGCATCATGTAGTCCACCTAATCCAGTGTCAATAGAATTAATGCATAGCTCTTGTGGCCTTTAAGGAAAACAATCAATTAAGAAAAGTAATAATACCAAACATTTATTAATTTTATAGAATGGTAAAATTTTATATAATGGAGATACATAAATTATATCGGTACATGATTAAATCATGTTGTAAACATATACCATCATGAATTTTATCATAGATCCTGACCAGTGGGTTAAATATTCAATCTATTACAAAATATGTTTGTCACTCAGAAAATAATATATTTCTTACGGGTTTTTGTGGGAGAGGTGACCATGGGATGTCATAACAGCTGCAAAAGTTGCCATAGCCTTCGTATGTCTGGCAAAAGTCAGCTCTCTCATGCATTGCCTCCTCTCCATACCATCCACACCTTGGTTCTTTAGGAGTAATGTATATTGTCATTGAATAATTGCATCGTAAGTGCACTGCTTCATTGTCTCCTATTTATTCGATACATATTTACAGAGTATTGTAGCAGTTTCATGATAGTATTGGGATCTCCACCCAGAACGGCTCATCTTAATCTTATTACCACCTAACTGTGAAAAGTAATGTCTATATGCAAACCGTGTAACACTGTGTGGTAATTAGTGTCAGTGATCTTTTGGATCGCTTTCTCCCCTCCTCTCTCTCTCTCTCTCTCTCTCTCTCTCCTCTCTCTCTCTCTCTCTCTCTCTCCTCTCTCTCTCTCTCTCTCCCCCCCCTCTCCCTCCTCGCCTTCCTCACCCAAGTGGATAGGTGACCGAGACAGTATTGCACTATTGTATTAAAACGGTTAGAGAAATGGGAATGGGTTGAGGGGAGCTAAGAGAAGTCAGTGGGAAGAGGTGGAAGAGGGTAAAAAAAATAGCACAGTATTTTTTAACAAATAGAAGCCGCTTTTAACACCTGAGAAATTAAAATGAGGCGCCTTTCTCTGTGAACCACACTGGCGCAAGTTCCTCTACTCGGCGCTAACCTTGCTTGCCAGGTACAGAGACGTGAAGCGTGAGGGGCGACACGTTGAACTTAGAAAGATCGCGTCTTGGGAGAGATGTGGTGAGGGCTTCAAGCACCACCCCACCGCCCTTGTGCACCAGCATGCACCACACGTCTTTGTAGGCCACTCTGTTGATGTACAGTGCGCCCATATCCTCCAGCACCTTTACTACTGCCTCTTCCAGGAATAACGTGAAGTCCGGCTACCGTAACAGATTATACATTATTATTATTTTTTAAATTTCACGTAAAAAAGTTTATGTAGTTCACATAGTGTTTTTCATATAGACTTGAACAGTATAGTGAAAGGATACTGGTCTGGGTGAGATGTAATATTGTTGACAAATGAGAGGACAGACATAAGTTATTTCTATTAAGACAACGTTTGATTCCAATAGCTCTGCTCAGAGCAAAATCTTGTCGAAATATATACTTTTACTGTAGCTTGTGTCTGTCTTCAAACTACTGCTTTTGGGTTCTTAACAGAGTTCTAGAAGTGCAGTACCTCTGAGTTTATGAAAAATGTAAAAAAAATATTAATGTATTCAAGGAGACTTGTGTTTATATATTTTATATATATATATATATATATAATATTATATATATATATATATATATACTATTTTTGTTTTTTATTTTATATATACTCACACCACAAAAAAAAATCAGCGTTTTTATTGTGGCTACTTAACTGCTCCCATGACGATTAAGAGGCGACCATTTTGATTCTTTTGAAGGACTCTATAAACTGTCCGTCTGTGGGAGCGAGCCAAGTCATGTAGGAAGCTGCAGCCATGACTTGACCTGTTCTCTGGTGGAGCGTGACGAAGTGCAGCCCAGAATGTAGAGTAACATTCTTGTTATTCAACGAGGAAGTTTTGTTAAGACTGCTGTACACCTGTTAGTGAAGCACAGTCTGTATTACAGTACATTATGATTACGAAAACGTAAAAAGTCAGATTACAAAATAATATTGCCGACAGTAATTACTAAAAGACCCAGGTGCATAGCAAGGTTTTATTGTGACAATATTTCGGTCTATTCAGAGGGAAGCGTGACAGCAGTAAATTGTTCTACTAAATGTATCTTTCCTGCGTTAATTTTTTTTTTTTACATGACTGTAGGAACCATCAAGCCTGTGGGGAAATAAATAACAGAAGGAAACCTATCGCTGATATCAACAAACAGCCACAGCTGCAGACAGTGCCACGAGCGCTGCCTAATTTGTATCTGAATCATGGTCCAAATCTTGAAAATAAAACGCCCTCGTAGATCAGTTTTTTTGGTAATTTTAGATATACGTATAATATTAGCAATTATTTTATATTTAGAACAACTCAATCCAGTGATAAAAACATATACTCACCTGGCGACCGTCGACTGATACAGTCACGCCTGTGACGTTTACCGTGATAACCAGAAGTAGATTAACATTATCAGCCTCTGGATTTTTTGAAGGAGAATGATAGGCAGCATTTATATTTTGGGAAAAGGAATCTTGAATCGTCTCTTCATATCTAATAGAAGTTTTAAAAGCCGTTTGACTATGGAAAATTGAAGCTTCAGTAGGATTTTGATCTGGCAGGATACTTTCATGTGTCTCCTGACTCCTAGGAATGAAAACGTTGGTAACATCGCGATTTACGAGAACTGAAGCTTCAGTATCCTCTTGACCTTCAGGAGTGGCAGTATTTTGAGTCTCGTGTGATATATATTGCGAAACTGCAGATTGATTTTCAAGTAAGGTTTTACCAAGGAATGAATTATCTGATAGAACATCATGTTGATAACTCTCAGTAGCTAGGAGCTTCCGATTGTGTCCAAGAACATAATTTACTTTTCGCTCTTTATTAGAAGACCTCACTCTCTTTGGTCTTTGAGGTATGGTTAAGGATGCATCAGTATTGTTTTCTACATAGGGAACGGCTCCTTTGACGCGTTTTTTACCGGAGTTGGTCACCACTTTTAACATTTTAACGGCAGTCTTCACTTTTGATTGGCTCTCACTTGGAGTTGTCTTATCGATATAAACTATTGACTGTTCTTCGTTTGTAGTCCATAGAGTTTGCATTGATATATCGTTACCACTCCTAACCTTGGATAGATTAATTTCACTTTTAGTGTTAGTTCTGGTTGCGACGTTACCATCACCAGTTTGGTTCACAATTATGATAATCACAAAGTACGCCAAACTGAGAAGAGTGGTGGCTGCCACCCTCTGTTGTGTAGTCAAAGGCAGCATTACAGAGTAAATGGAGATGGTCCTATAGAATTATACCTGCAGGTTTTTAGGTGAAGAGGAGCAAAATTATAAGCTAAATATGACTCCAGTGTTGAAGGATGGTAGGGAGTAATGAAAAACATGTGTAGTAAACAATGGTTAATCTCGATCGCTAGCACACTCAGCTCCCACACTGAGGTCCGGAGTTCGAATCGCCGGTACGGCTGGAAAACATTAGGGACGTATTTCCATAAGACATTTGGAGTTCGAATCTCCGGTACGGCTGGAAAATATTAGGGACGTATTTCCATAAGACATCTGCTGTCCCTGTTCACCCATCTGTATAAAATGGGTACCTGGGTGTTAGTCGGCTGGTCTGGGTCGCATCCTGGAGTTTACCTGGAGTTTACCTGGAGAGAGTTCCGGGGGTCAACGCCCCCGAGCCGGTCTAGACCAGGCCTACATGGGATTCTATAGCCTGATCAACCAGGCTGTTGCTGCTGGCTGCACGCAAACCAACATACGAGCTACAGCCCGGCTGATCCGGAACTGACTTTAGGTGCTTGTCCAGTGCCAGCTTGAAGACTGCCAGGGGTCTGTTGGTAATCCCCCTTATGTGTGCTGGGAGGCAGTTGAAAGTCTCGGGCCCCTGACACTTATTGTATGGTCTCTTAACGTGCTAGTGACACCCCTGCTTTTTATTGGGGGGATGGTGCATCCTTCATCGTCTGACCTAATTTGCCCAGAATGCTCTGCATAACAAGCAGCTTTCTGTATAGTATTATGTCATATATGTCAGCTAGGCCTGTATACCATATACACGTACTTGTGAAATAAGATATTATTTATTATATTACTATGTAATTATTATTATCTATTATTATTATTATTCATTATTCATCGCTTCAGCTGCATAATTTATAACCGCTACATAAAGCAGTTTATTTGGAGACTGAATTTTTTTCTATTTTAATTTTGAAGTTTACCTAGGTAAAGATTCCTTGCAGCTTTTCAAGATTCCTCTGATAACCCTTTCCTTCTGGATGTGCAAAGACAATAATTTCACTCTTTTTTTTTAGTATATGACGCAAAAATGCATTTGTTTCAAATATGAATATGGTTTTTAAATTAATCCGTCTCCATTGTTTTTCCTGTACAATTGTCCACATATTTTATTCCTTTTCCTTATTTTCTTTCAATTACACAATTATCGGGATTAGCATTTATCTTGTTCAGCCTTGTTGCCTACCAACTTTACACTATAAAAGAAGTAAACATTAGTTTTAATTATATATTCCACTAAAGTTCTTTAACTGATAAGTAATTAGGTACAGTTTTGATCCATGTAGCAGCACTTGAGTGTAGACTCCTCACAACGATACAGGAAGTGATGACCCAGGGTGTGGACGCCTAGCTACGAGTGTCAAAACTGTGAGTTGGCGGTACCTCAGGCTACACCTGTTGCCATTTGTTGATCTTACGTCTTATCAATTTTATCAATGCTTTTCCTTAGGAGGTTGGTTAATAGAGTTTAAAGCCTATCGACTACATAAAGGTTATTAAAGCGATATGTAAACTATCTGTCACCAGTCAAGAATACTTTAATCCCTAAAATAGGAGTTAGGTAAGCTTTCAGGGTATATACTCTGAGATACAAACCTCTCGGTATATATATATAATATATATATTGTTGACTTTTCCTTGAACATAAATTTGGTGCTTCGCGGTTCTTGAGGCATAAATATTGTAAGAATATCTAATAAAAATGTAATAATTGCCTTAAGTTGCTTTGTTAATTAAGGTGAAACATACAAAATTTATAACTGGAGAAGTAGTAGGTTTATATTATTAGAATGTGCGATAACGGTAAAAGATATGCAGGTATATTAATTTAGCGCATAATATGTCGGTACATCTCTTAATATTGTCATGAGGCGAGTTTCTTCCTGATCATAGAATTATGAACGTATTTCACTATTAATATAGTACGTGTTCCCTGCTTTACAATGAGCTTATGTGAACGACCGGCTATACACCTAGTTCCTCTCAAGGGAGGGAGGTGCCTTGATGCTGTTGACGAGGGAGGTGCCTTGATGCTGTTGACGAGCTCTTGATAACAAGGAATTGAATCTATCTTCCCTTTCCTTTTACCGAATCAGATGGTCTCTCATTCCCCCGGTGCTGTATGACTCCTACAGGTTTACCACTTCCTCCATAAATGTAATAATAATAATAATAATTAATAATAATAATGATAATTATAGTAAAACAGTTCAATGATGTCTAGACAGTGTACGTTGCGAGCCAAAGGGGCAAACCTTTGCATTTTCACTGTACTTTCCTGTTATATTATCACTGCATTTCCTTTACCGCAGTTTTAATGTAGAATTTAATTAAAATTCAAACTAGAAATTAAATAGATATTTTAGAATTTCTCTGTAGTAACAACATAGAATATATGTATACTCAGTATATGAATATTTTTGCCTAAAGTGCATATACGTTTTTTTTTAAAAAGCCATTAACAATCTAACTTAATTTTTAATGGGGTAGACTGGTAAGCCAGTGGAAGGCCTCGGTCAGATGACCAAAAGCTCTTGTGGCGGGTCATCATATAACTAGAGACCCGCGTCAGAAAACACTTGCCTTTTTTCCTGACAATCGTACCTACTTATGAAAGCCATTACCAGTTAGATTCTGAGAGTTGTGCGAGGTATTCTTGATCATATTACAATAGGTTTACAATAACCACAGGTTGATGAGTAAGACACTGAGCAACACTGGTTATCTTCACTGACAAAAGGTTTCGAATGCGTTGCAGGCTTCATCAGTCATAATTATGACTGCCGGAGTTCAGAAAGGAAATTCTTGCATTTTTGTTTCCTAAACAAATCGATTTTAAAACTAAGAGCTGTTATCCTACTTCAACTGATTTCAAAACCCAGCTCTATGTAAGGAATACTGCCACCTCCTCCCCCAGGATGCGACCCACAACCGTTTACTAACACTCAGGTACCTACTTATTGTTAGGTGAACACGGGCACCAGGTGTAAGGAAACATCCCCAGCGTTTTCACCTGTGCCGGGAATCGAACCACGGACATTTCAGTATGTGATTTGAGTGTGTTGCCAACTGAGCCACGGGACTTAATTAGTATCCGCAACATTTGACTCTCTTGGGTATTATTTGTTGATTTCCTGTTGATGGTTCCAAAAATTGTCGTTCCCTGAGTCTAGGGCCTTGAAGGTCCCCTAGTGTTGTGTTGTTAGACATTACATTAGTCTGAGAATTTTGATCACTCTGACCCCCTCCCAATTCATTCATACTGGAGGAGTAAAGAAACAAATAGGGATATTTTTATTTGACTTTATTTATCTTTTTGTGAATATAATATTTTTAATTATGGAAGGTAGTTTCAATAGTTTTTATTGGTATTTGTTTACATAGCATTTATTTTGATTGTGTTCATTTAAACAATGAACATATTTAATATTTCTGTAATAGATCAACGTGTCACGATGTTCATGCACTGTGAGCAACAGTGCATGAACGATTTGAGTGGTTGTCTCGGTTTATGTAAACCTAGAGTTTATTTTTTATTTTTATCGTATAAGGCCTCTTAGGGATTGAAATGCCTTGCTGATTGGAGTACAAATCACGTGCAATTGCAGGTTAAAATACTCGAGAATGTTACATTCTCTCACAAATTAATCATTGGGGATTCAAGCGCGCTCAATTTAATCATTCTCCTTGTAGGAACTAAATATAGAGAATACTCAACGCATGCCACGTTGATCCAACGTGCATCCAGCACTGCCTAGGAAAACGCCAGCCCTCCACGGTTGGGTAAACATGAGACCTATGTCTGGGCGAGACGAGACATTGGCCAACCCCCAGGTATCAGTGTGGTAATTGTATGTAGACTCCATGCTGCCCTCCTTCTGGGAGTCAGATTCATTCTGCATATGTAAAGCACAAACTCTATTTTCTACGAGAGACAATAAGGGAATTCATCTTCTAAAAAGAATTTGCTAAGAACAAATAATCCGTCAGAATATTGAATCAGTAATTTAGTTATTAAAACGAATTAGCAACTCAGTTGGCCTTCAAACAGAAGGGACTGTATACATGGCACTAAAGAAAGTCTATAAACGCTTGCTAAAACAAGAAAAGGTGACAGTGCCACTGCATGAGGCGTCCTGAGGGAAGATTAAAGGTACTGAAAATGGAAGGTAGGACAGGAAAAATGAAAACTACATATAAATTTATAAAAGGATATATAAAACATAAAGTGGAAATTTCTTCATACTAGCAACAGAGAACAAGAGGTCATAAATATCAGATACGTAAGAAGCAATGTAGATGGGACGTTGAAAATATTTTTTTCACAAACGGTCGTTCATTACTGTGAGTGAAATCAGAAGAAATAGTACTTGCTAAAATCATTGGAAATGTAAATAATTTGTACTATACTTTTATAACAGTATGGGAAATCACAAGCATAAGATTTGTTTGTGTAAAACGAATAGATGTATTATACGCACAGATTACTAAATGGTGTAGTGGATTAGGTTTGTAAGATTGAGCTCATCTGAGAGGGAGAGGGGAGGCATCCTGAGGGCCACATGCTCGTTGGTGGGTATTTTCCTGAAGGGATGGTTGTCCGCGAAATCCACATCCTTGAGTGACACGCTGTAGATGTTACCTGCTTCCCTTGTAATGCTGAAGTAAAGAACAGGAGAACATTCACATCTGGAGATTTGACATTGTCGTTTAACAACATAAATCTTTGTCTGAAATTCGCATTTCATTAGTATTTACGGATATTCGACATAATTTAACTTACGTAATTCAAGGCTGCAAAAGACGGTCCTTGAAAAAGTAATCTAGAACACATTCAAGTCAGAATTAAAAACACTAAACGGGAGAGTGACTGTTTAGGTTGTCTTAACAACACGATTACAAAGAAATCACAGAAAGAGTGGGGATCGAACCTAGGGTAGGTGAGCCCTAGAACTCACAGGCCAGTTCGCTAATTACTCGTCCAGATGGCTCCAATAAGATTCATCCGACTAGGTATATATATATTATATATTATATATATATATATATATATATATATATAATATATATTATTATATATATATATATATATATATATATATATATATATATATATATAATTGATTAATGGGTTAGCATGGACCCCACTATGATGACAGTGGTCACATTGGTGCCCATGTTAACCTCACTACACTATAGTAATTTTTACCGATATTTACAAGAGCTCACCAGAAAGGAGAATTGGGACAGCCGACGATGTAGAGCTGGTTACCATAGAAGGAAACTGTATACATCATGTGTAAGTTCTCGTGGAACCTGTGGTCGTCGAGACCCAGACACTGCCGAGGAGGGAGACATATTATGGTATATAACTTTATTGAGATATTTTTGTAAATAGGTAATATGACAAGCGCAACGAAAAAAACTAACTAAAAAGATATTATTTTTACCTTATTGCATTATTAAAAAGTGTGGAAATAAGGTCGGGGTAATATGATTAGGTGATGACCACCAGTGACAAGAGTGATAAAGTGTCAGTGCCATTCATCCTATCTAGAGGCATGGTCTGATGGTGATGAAGGCTCTTGATCCAAGGTATTGAAGCGCCCTCCCATTGAATCAAACCTCATTACCTACATTATCAAGGCGTTGTATGATCCCTACGGGTATAGCGTTTCCCCGTGAATAAAATATAATGATACTCACCCTGGCGACAACGTAGTAGGCCTGAGAGGAGTATCTTAGCTCGTCTTTCTGGTCAATGTACACCACATAACTCTCGTTCATCTGAGGCCCAGTAAGTAGAGTGTTAGGTAAGGTTCGTCAGGAAACAGGACAAGTGTTTCTTTGTCAGAGATAACTAGTCAGTTACTATATAAATTAACACACTTTAGCCACGGATTTGTTCTAGCTTATATGAGTAACAAGGGTACTACAAAGACACAGTGCAGAGAATAACTTTTTATTTAGAGCAAAACAGTCTATAAATAAATGTTTCTTCTGCACATTGCATCTCTCTACTTAACTTGTCGGCAAGCATTGCGTCTCAGACATGTGTATAAGACCTGGCGCTAACCTGGTGGCGGGGTATGGTTAGGTCCTCACACGGATGCTTGCTGAAGCGTACCACGTGTCCAGTACGGATGTTACTGTAGTGGAACTTGATGTAGTTGTGCAACTCTGCCCTGCCGATCAGTACGTATTACCTACATTTTAAACATTGTTTTATTTTTATAGTTGTTTAAATATCATTTTTTTACCAATTATTCAAGTATTAAATAACTGGGGCATTGAAATTATATCTATTAAATGTGAATATTTACATTATAGCAGTTTTCACACCCTTTATTTACGTAAGTAGTATTGACGTTCAAGTTTTTGTTTACTTACCCGAAGGTAGCATTGATGAGTGCAGCAATTAACGTTGATTATTTTACTTACCCGTGGACGTCTAATGTGACATTTGGGAGAGTATTGAGTGGACGTTGGTCGTAGTACTGCTGTTGTTCTATGCCAGTGACGTGAACACCGCCGCCACCACGGTGCTTGCTGCGAGGGACCTCAGGCACCAGGATGTCTCTTTCACCCATTACTACCTGTCGCACCCACAGGTCCCAGTCCATTCCCTGTGACACAGTTTATTATAGTCATGCAGAATATCTTCCCCCCTGAAGTTTATCCAGTGTCCGTCTAACCAGTCACACTTGTTGCACCTACAATTCCCAACCCCACACACTGTAACACACACAACTTGTTAAATGTATCAAATATCTGGCTCACTCACCCCCTGTTGCACCCACTTGTAACTGTTAACACCCTGTGGTGACATCCAGTTTGTGATGTCATGCGCAGGTTGATCACTATCTTGTATGGACGCGTTGTATTTTACCGGTTAATGGATTGTTCATTATAAGTTGAGATTTAAAGAGGAAATATTTATCCAAAATGCAGCCTTGAAGAAAATTTAACCAATTATAACATAATAGCACAAATATATGAAATAATATTTTATGGTGATAAAAAAAATCGTGGGCGAAGAGAAAACAGAAGCCCACTAAAAAGACTATAATAACGCTGTCAGATAATAAGGTTTGCATTTTTGTGTCAACAGTCTTCAGCCAAAGGTAAAAACCAACTTTGCTTAGGATGATGAGTTGAGAAATAAGACGTTTCATGGAGATGGGTTGGGTCCCTAGCAGCAGTGTACCAGCCACAGCTGGTCATCCTGTAGCTTAGATCCACAAATGAAGATATTTTCCCTGACGAAGACAGTTTTACCACTACCGTGCTCCTGATACCTAGGCTTTGTTCACTGATTTGGTTGTCTAATACTCGACTAGTTCTCTGGACTTTGAAGGAGCAATGTCAATATGAGGGTTAATAAACCTGCCCATATAGTGGCCAAATATTTTGTCATTTAAATATTCTTTATCCTGACCTTGCCCGTAACCCAGTTGTTAACCATCTCTCTGGCCACTGTTTTCCTGACCATCCAGCCGTAAGCAGGGGCTCCATGCACCCTGTAGAGGCGCGTGGGGTCGAAGGCAGTGTGATTGAAGGCGTTGTAGTTGTAAGCGTTGACGCAGAACAACTTTAGGTCTGACGTGAGTAGTGGAGCTGTTTGATGGAAGTACCTGGCGAGACAGTGACTGGTAAATATTTATGTACAAATAAAATCTATTATAAATTGTCTGAAAAGACTGTAAATGTCTTGCTGAGAAGAATAGAAGACAGTACCTTAGCTTGAAGAGCTCACAAATAACCCACACTTACATGAGGAAGCTGATGACGACTCATTGAAACATTCTCATGAACTTCCTTATCTAAGTGCGAGTTATCTGCACATTATTATTACATTCATAGAGGTGCGCTAAACCCATAGGGGTCATACGACGCCTTAGAAATGCGGGGGAATGGGGAGTAGCTCCAAATCCTTATCAGTATAATTCACGAAATTGAGTTCAGAAGACAGACGGAGGATCTTTGAAGCTAAGAGCTTTAAATATATTTTTCATCATACATAATAAAAGTCTTTAATAATTAAGACTTCTTTCTAGAAAAAATCAGATAACAGACTTTAGGTTGATAAGAGTCATACACGCTATAAAAATAAATTGAACGGAATTCCAATAATAAGTATGTGTTTAATCTAATTAAATATTTATAAAAGATGACCTTGATGATCGTAAAATAAGTTTCTGAAGTCTGAGAAAAATAATGATCAAAGTCCGGATGTCTAAAAGATTAATTAACGGCGAAGTTCATACAGTTGTCGGAGATGCTAAAAGTAAGGAAATAAATGAGAAGGTCGCGACTCGACAACTAACACTCGCAATACTCAGAACTAATAATCAACTAATACTCACGGGATGAAGTCTGGAGCGAGTTCAAGATCGTCCTCGAGGATGATGACTTTGTCTGCCTGCGAGTACCGTTGGAACACCTGCTGCAGGACGAACTTGATGTGAGAATTAACGCGGGTGGATGATCCTGCCGTACAAAGTAGTATTTGTTATACATTATTATGTAACCATATCTGGTATAGCCTCACCGTGTATTTTATTATAACTTTATAGAACAGCTCCCAGTTATATCACATTATACAGTCAATAAAATTTGCTCATAGTAAATAAAGCAACATGTCGTGTTGTAGAA